TGTTGACTGTATATATTACCATGCCGGCTTATGGTAACATAACACATGTTGACTGTATATCATACCATACCGGCTTATGGTAACATAACACATGTTGACTGTATATCATACCATGCCGGCTTATGGAAACATAACACACGTTGACTGTATATTTTACCATGGTGGTTTATGGTAACATAACACATGTTGACTGTATATCCTACCATGCCGGCTAATGGTAACATAACACATAGTGACTTGATATGATACCATGACGGTTTTATGGTAACATATCACATGTTGACTGTATATCATACCATGTCGGCCGATGGTAACATAACACATGTTGACTGCATATCATACCATGCCGGGTTATGGTAACATAACACATGTTGACTGTATCTCTTACCATGGTGGTTTATGATACCGTAACGCATGTTGACTGTATATCATACCATACCGGCTTATGGTAACATAACACATGTTGACTGTATATCTTACCATGCCGGCTTATGGTAACATAACACATGTTGACTGTATATTTTACCATGGCGGCCTATGGTAACATAACACATGTTGACTGTATATCTTACAATGCAAGCTTATGGTAACATAACACATGTTGACTGTATATCATACCATACCGGCTTATGGTAACATAACACATGTTGACTGTATATCATACCATGCCGGCTTATGATAACATAACACACGTTGACTGTATATTTTACCATGGTGGTTTATGGTAACATAATACATGTTGACTGTATATCCTACCATGCCGGCTAATGTTAACATAACACATGCTGACTTGATATCATACCATGACGGTTTTATGGTAACATAACACATGTTGACTGTATATCATACCATGCCGGCCTATGGTAACATAACACATGTTGACTGTATATCATACCCTGCCGGATTATGGTAACATAACACATGTGGACTGTATATCTTACCATGCCGGCTTATGGTAACATAACACATGTTGACTGTATATCTTACCATGCCGGCTGATGGTAACATAACACATGTTGACTGTATATCTTACCATGCCGGCTTATGGTAACATAACACATGTTGACTGTATATCATACCATGCCGGCCTATGGTAACATAACACATGTTGACTGTATATCTTACCATGGTGGTTTATGATACCATAACACATGTTGACTGTATATCCTACCATGCCGGCTTATGGTAACATAACACATGTTGACTGTATATCTTACCAAGGTGGTTTATGATACCAAAACGCATGTTGACTGTATATCATACCATGCCGGATTATGGTAACATAACACATGTGGACTGTATATATTACCATGCCGGCTTATGGTAACATAACACATATTGACTGTATATCATACCATGCCGGCTTATGGTAACATAACACATGTCGACTGTATATCTTACCATGGTGGTTTATGGTAACATAACACATGATGACTGTATATCCTACCATGCCAGCTTATGGTAACATAACACATGTTGACTGTATATCATACCATGCCGGCTTATTGTACCATAACACATGTCGACTGTATATCTTACCAAGGTGGTTTATGGTAACATAACACATGATGACTGTATATCTTACCATGCCGGCTTATGGTAACATAACACATGTTGACTGTATATTTTATCATGGCAGCCTATGGTAACATAACACAGGTTGACTGTATATCATACCATGCCGGCTTATGGTACCATAACACATGTCGACTGTATATCTTACCAAGGTGGTTTATGGTAACATAACACATGATGACTGTATATCTTACCATGCTGGCTTATGGTAACATAACACATGTTGACTGTATATTTTATCATGGCGGCCTATGGTAACATAACACATGTTGACTGTATATCATACCATGCCGGCTTATGGTAACATAACACATGATGACTGTATATCATACCATGCCGGCTTATGGTAACATAACACATGTTGACTGTATATCATACCATGCCGGCTTTTGGTAACATAACACATGTGGACTATATATCCTACCATGGCGATCTATGGTAACATAATACATGTGGACTGTATTACCATGCCAGCTAATGGTAACATAACACATGTGGACTACATATCCTACCATGGCGGTCTATGGTAACATAACACATGTGGACTGTATATCTTACAATAGCGGCTTATGATAACACATATGGACTGTTTATCTTACCATGCCGGTGTATGGTAACGATATCACTAGTGAACTGTATATCCTACCATGACAGGTTATGGTAACATAACACATGTTGACTGTATATCTTACCATGGCGGCTTATGATAAATTAACACATGTGGACTGTATATCTTACCATGTCGGGTAATGGTAACTTAACACACGTTGACTGTATATACTGCCATGGCAGTCTATGGTAACATAACACACGTTGACTGTATATCTTACCATGGCGACTTATGGTAACATAACACATGTTGACTGTCTACTAACTATGCCGGCTCATGGTAACATAACAAATGTGGATTATATATCTTACCATGCCGGTGTATGGTAACATAACACATGTGGATTATATATATCTTACCATAGCAGTGTATAGTAACATAACACATGTGGATTATATATCTTACCATGCCGGTGTATGGTAACATAACACATGTGGACTGTATATCTTACCATGGCGGCTTATGGTAAGATTACACATGTGGACTATATATCCTACCATGGCGGTCTATGGTAATATAATACATGTGGACTGTATTACCATGCCAGCTAATGGTAACATAACACATGTGGACTATATATCCTACCATGGCGGTCTATGATAATATAACACATGTGGACTGTATATCTTACCATGGTGGTTTATGGCAGTATAATACATGTGGACTGTATATCCTACCAAGGCGGTCTATGGTCACATAACACATGTGGACTGTATATCTTACCATGGTGGTTTATGGTAGTGTTATACACGTGGACTGTATATCCTACCACGCCGGCTTATGGCAACATAACACTTGTAGACTGTATATATCCTACCATGGCGGTTTATGTTAGTACAATCTTATTAAAATCAGATCTTAGTTATCGCTATCGCTGAACAAAGATCTGAGGACATCCCATTACGGGTCACGTCAGAACGACCTTTCATCCAACCAATCAGAGCGTCGCTTACCAGATCATGAAAGTACAGACGGAATGTGTTTTCTGATCATGCAACCTCCATATATTCAACAGAGGGTATTCCGAACGACAGTTACGGGTTTTATGATTATATCAATTCAATCTAGGCAAACTGTAAGCCATTCCAGAATGTTCTTTTTATCAGTATTAAATTTTTTAACAGAGAATACGTCAAAATATGTTTCGAAGCGTAGTCGCCAGTTTGAAACTAGTGTCGTAAAGCTCGAGAAAGCTGCCTTCTGATTGGCTGATGTCGATTTCTTGTCTGTCATTTCATTGATCGGCCAAAGTTCGCGAGGGGTCGTTCTGACGTGACCCGTAATGGGATGTCCTCAGATCTTTGTTTAGCGGTAGCGAAAACTAAGATCTGATTTAAATGAGATTGATGGTAGTATAACACATGTGGACTGTATATCTTACCATGGCGGCTTATGGTAACATAACACATATGGACTGTATATCCTACCATGGTGGTTTATGGTAATTAACACATGTGGACTGTATATCTTTCCATGGTGGTTTATGGTAGCATAACACATGTTGACTGTATATCTTACCATGGCGGTTTATGGTAGCATAACACATGTGGACTGTATATCCTACCGTGGTGGTTTATGGTAACATAACACATGTGGACTGTATATCCTACCACGCCGGCTTATGGTAACATAACACATGTTGACTGTATATCCTACCATGGTGGCTTACGGTAACATAACACATGTGGACTGTGTATATCTTACCATGGTAGCCTATAGTAAAGTTTCAACACATCTGGACAGCAAATCAAAGTTTTATTATATGCTTGATAAAAAACAATGCATTTCTCATGAGATTGTTGTCATAGATACATATTAACCTTGTATGTTTTTATATTTCACAGAACTGAAAGGTACATTTTTGATTACACATATGTCGTCATGACTAGGAAGCGTTCAGACGAAGGAATTAAGGGTAAGAAGTTACTATAGGTATACAACAGTAATAAAAACCTCTCCGAGTTCTAAGTCAATCTGCCATCGTGAGAAATGACTTCTACATTTTGACCATATGAAATAACACATTGAGAGAACAAATAATTGCTGAAATACCACTAGATCTAAATAAATAAACAATGCTTTACTTTACTTCTATTGCTTCTCATTCAAACTGATGAAAATTCTGAAGGACCACGTCATTATGGTCGCTTATTAATGTATTTAGAATAAAAAGATTCATAAACTAAAACTTGTTTTGCAAATGTACAAAAATGCCTGTTTGGGATTACCTGTCCTGATCACCTGGCGCATGCCTCAACCACACCGCGTTGGTAGGACATTACAAACTTTGGGATTACCTGTCGTGATCACCTGGCGCATGCCTCAACCACACCGTGTTAGTAGGACATTACAAACTTTGGGATTACCTGTCGTGATCACCTGGCGCATGCCTCAACCACACCGTGTTAGTAGGACATTACAAACTTGGGGCATTTGCTTGACATTGATAGCCACAAAATATTATTGAACATCAAACAATCAATCTGACAGTGTACAGAAATATAATGCTACGATATCCATACACATGAGGATTGTTAAACTATGGTTTCTCATTAAATGAGAATGATTCATTGAATGATTTGCTGAACATCTCATGATTGGAACGTGTTAAACGGGTTACATTTGAATTCAAAACAATCTTTTAAAAAAAATACACAATATAGACATATAATGTTTTGTCAGCATCTGACATACTAAACTCTCACACTTCGATACGAAGTTTGAAAGTGTACAACGAGCTAACGGTTCTCTTGCAATTTTGGTCCATATGGCACTGTCGTCATGACTACCTGGCGCTGTCCACGTGTACTGTCATCTAGCTGGTGCAGCCCCAGCCGCCACAGTCGTTGGTAGTCGGGGAGGTTCGCTTCTTGGTGCACGTGCAACCCACGTGATGAGTCTTCAAGATTGGCTTGTACTTGTAGAATCCATCTTGGCACCCTATCTCCTGCAGGACCCGGATGTTGGTGGACACTCGGGAACACTCGTTGACGTCGTTGCCGACACATGCCGGGCACTTGCAGACAGCCTGTGGGATGACAGATGGGAAGTGACCGGCAGGGAGCTCCGTTATGTTGTACCACCAGGGGCAGATGGAGCGGGAGAAGACTGGGGCGCTGGGGTCATCACTCACAGAAGATGGACACGACCTGTTTGCTACCTGGCTGTCTGACACCTGGTGGTAGTTCAGCTCTGTGGGCAGGTGGGAAATGTTCCCGGCCAGCTCAGACATTTGAAGATACAAGGAAGCATTGAGGTGCTGGTTGAGGCTCTCAAAAAGGAGGCTGAGGTTGGCTGGAGGTTGGCAGTTCTCGACTTGTCTTCTTTCTCTAGCGTTGACGTTCATCTGTGGCAGGCACCAAGCAGCGACTGCAGCACACAGGAGCACGGGTAGGCGCAGAAGGAACATCGTTACCGTTTGGATATAAAATCACAGAACTGTGGATTTCTAGGCAATTGTGAACAAACAAACAACACTTGCCTCGTCTAATACAACACTGACTACCATACCACTTATATACATCCATTTTGGGGCTTTTCAAAAGAATATTTTGTGACAAAGCGTTCAGGCAGGAAGCAAAAGCGGTAGCGAGATATACCAGTGATCCTCTACCTGCAGTGACCAGTGTATAGCGCTTCCTGTTTAAGCATTAGAGTATCCCTATTAGTGTGAGTTTTCATTTACTGTAATCCAAAATGTCTAGTTCATGTCAATACTAATGGTGTTTCTTTAAGTTATTCTGTTCAATGTATTTACTGAATTTTATTGAAGTTATAGCATGCATTAGCAGCACCCAGTTGATTTATTTTATCAGTTATGAATGTATTTCTGTTTGTTGGTATCATATTTGACACATTTTTCAATAACATATCAATGAAAATCATAAACTTATTTACGATTTCTAGACTTTTAAAACCTTTAATGTATTGTATATTGTATTATATATCCTGTCTGGGAGACGATCGGTATATAACAGATGAAGTCATAAGAGTGTGACAAGATGTCACATGTCGGCCAGAGCTGCGCAAGTTGTGTTTCATGTCTGTTGACAATATACATCCGTGTAGGGTTCTGCATGCACGTAACCTCCGCAGATCCTTGTTTTCTTTCGGGCCTCCATATATCACTTTATTCCAAATATTCTAAATTCAGTAACTGTATATGTTAAGTTGGCTTGGCGGTGTCGCCAAACTTGGACATAGCGTTGTTCAAGTTACTCAGTTCTGTGTCGCACCTATATCCCTCCTTGACTCTGCTTATTAGACCACAAGAGGGAAATTGATGCATTGACGATATAAAATTCCAGGCTTGAGTTACTTGGTCAGAGATGATAAGTTAAGAAAGAGTTTATTAGGGGGGTTATTGATGAAACTGAGAGTCCAGCTGTGTAAGAGAAAAGTACTTTCATCCTCGGTAATGTAGGTGAATCGACAAACCGATTGGCTGATATAAGGGTTACCCACATAAGCAGCTACATTAAACACGGAAGGCAGTTCGGCACGAATGTATTGTAATTAATACATGTTTAAGAGAAACATGCCAAAACTACCGTGTAGTTTTATTGCCTTGCATTTCCCAGTAACGCCTAGATCTTGAACTACAGTGGGCCTGACATGACTTTGTGACGTGGGCATCTGTGGGTTGAAGCTTAAAGTTGTCGTGACAATTATTAAATCAGAACAATTTTAAAACGTACATCGCTCGAAGAGATTCTATATTTGATCTACCTCATTGAATGGAATGAGACAAAGATGTTGTTTGTTTATTTATTTCAACCAATAACAACCCACTCTGTAGCATTTTGGCATTTTGGTCACTGATGCGTCAACTTTGGAAATGAGGTGCTATATAAATGTATAAACTTGATGTTATGTACAATATAGGTATAAACTTGAAGTTTATAATGTATAAACATAATGTTATATACAATACACGTACAAACTTGATGTTTTATACAGGTATAAACGTGGTGTTATATACGATATAAACATGATACTATACACAGTACAGGAATAACATGATGTTACATACCGGTAAAACCTGGATGATATGTACAATATCGGTATAAACTTCGTGTAATATAGAGGTATAAACTTGACCATATAAAATACAGGTATAAGAGCCAGGAGATAACACCCTGATGTTTTTCATCCTCATTTTTGTCACGAGATATTTACAGGATGATAGTAGTAGGGTTAGATTTCCTTTCCATCATTGTTCTAATATATATTTGTTTAAGTTTGTACAAACTGTAAACAATGAGCCTGAGAGTGACCTGAACGTATCTAAACAATCTAGTTTCTGTAATTGACCCATCTCAACCCCGCCCCTACCAACAACATAATAATAACAATGATTATTAACCCTCAGAAACCCTTAATTTGACTTGACTAAACCCTTGTTATTTGTACAAACTAGGCGTTCGGCTTTAAACTAAAACACGTTAGCATCCATTGATGAAGGTGAGACTTTTGTCCAGGTGAAAAACAGCAATGACGATAAAAAACGTGCGTTGTTAAAATATATCTAGATGGATGTCTACCACAATCGAATCTTTCTCAAAGCTGATTATTTGAAATTAAAAGAAGACGGAAGATCGTTTCAGAAACTCGGGGCATTTCGAAGACATTTAGACATTTCCCAGAATTCTCTCATATATTAACTCCACTCAAAACCACTGTTCCTGTTTCTGCGATAATTCCCCCATCTTGGCGTTCAAAAGGTGTTATAGACACTTGCTGAGATGACGGAACATAGCTACCCTAATAACGCCATTCTTCTCATGGGGATTTCATGTTTACTTTACTTTATTTTCAGAGCTAGTAGGCCACGGGCCTTTTTGTACAGACGAAATACAATTAAGGTGCAAACAGTATAAGATATAATAAACATTTCTTTGTTTTTTAACAAAAGCAGTTTTAACATAATTGCACATTATACATGTTGGAGTATTTGTGATCTTACAGCATTGGCATAAAACAAGTACTTTGCTGTATTCATATTGATAATAGGGTCTTGCGACGACAGCAGTGTACTTCAGAATATTTGGAAAGATGTAAAATTTAGATTTTATGTAACTTTGCCTAAGATGGCTATAAGCTGGACAAATTAACAAAAAGTGATATCCATTTTCGATATGGTTTACAAACTTTACATTTTCTAAATTCACGAAAAATATTATAATGTCGTCCACGTTCAATTTCTAAATTGTGAGAACTAAGCCGAAAACGAGTCAATGTTGTTCTGAATGTATTTACTGTAATACTACTCAAATAGTTCTCACATAAAATGGATGTTTCAAACTGTGCATAATAAGCCATTTTGTGGCTTTCAGATAAATCACTATGCCAAACCTGAGAAAAGTTTTCTTTTAACCGTTGATGTAACATATTTAAAAATACGGTTTTATTACCACATGCTTGAAAGAACCAGACATCACCAAATCCTAATCTAAAAATAACAGTTTTAAGTTTCGTTACCCAATTTACGTGGCCTTGTTCATCGTACAAGCGCAACATATTGTAACATTTTTTAGGTAAGCGGGATGCCTGCATATTTAAAAGAGACAGCCAATATTTGACACATTTCAAGACAGCGAGCGACCGGATACCACACTCGCCTAACAACCCATAATTTGAAGTTGATAACTTTACATTTAAAGACGCTTACAGGCATACAATTGAACTTTTTCTGGTGGTTCTATGCCATTGAACCCCCAAATTTCGGCCGCGTATAAAAGTATTGGTGTTATCTTTGCATCAAATAATTTGAAGTAAAAGTGATGCGAGTATGGTTGTAAGGAATGTATAATACTTAAAAGGATCATGAACACCTTTCTTGCCTGAATTGCATGTTACTTAAAGCTTTCGACCACAGTAATCTATTGCTAGACTACAAACCAAGATAACTGTATCCAGTAACTACTTCAACATCATTTCCGTCATAATACCATTTTTCATAACGTGATAAACCTCCCCCAATTTTAAAAACAACTATTTTTGTTTTCGATAAATTCACATTTCCCATTTACAACAGTAATCATGCAAGATATTTAACTTCATTTGTAATTTGTTGACAGTATTGCCAAACACAATAAGATCATCCTCAAATAGAAGTAGAAAAATATGAATACATACCGGATGTAACTGAACACCAAAACGACAATTTTGTTCCATTTCTGTAACCAATTCATTTATAAAGAACTGAATCAAAATACCCATGAAGCAATCAAACGTACCAGATACTCTGTTGTTTGAACGAACACAAGCTTTTACATTACTGTAGATGGATTGTAACTTTTTACCCATTTTAGAACTCAAACCATGTTTGTACAATAGCTTCCATAGAAGATGACGCTGAATGGAGTCGAATGCTTTAGACAAATCAATAAATGCTACATAAAATTTACCACCTTTACGTGAAAGATAACGCTGAATGACAGAATTTAACACAAAACAGTTATCAATAGTTGAATAACCCTTTCGAAACCCCGACTGACATTCAGATATTTTGTCAAGTGTTGCATCCCAATACACCAGTCTTCTGTTTAAAATAGATGTAAAAACTTTACTGAGGATACTCAGGGGGCTTATAGCTCTATAGTTATCAGGAACAGAGGCGTCCCCTTTCTTATGTAGTGGGATAATTACCCCAGTTGCCCAACATTCGGGAAAAACACCGTTTTGATGAATGCTGTTAAATATGATTTCTAAATAAGGTATTATAACAGCGGACGAATATTTTAGATATTCACTAAGAATGTCGTCAAGATCAGCTGTTTTATTACTTTTCAGGGCTCTGATACTATCATAAAGTTCGGATCTGGTGATTGGAGAATCTAATATGTCAAGTGTTATTTCTTGCACATATGTCACTATGTCCTCCACCTCACTAAGATCATCCTGAATACCTATCTGTTCGGAATACAGCGACGAGAAATATTTCATGTTAGCATTATAGGCCTCCGTCAACCTATGATGGTCGTAAGAGGAGTCGTAATGGATCGAGCTGGAATATTGCTGAGTGGGCCATGCCACCAACCGTCACTTTACGGATAAGAGCGAATAAATTGTCACGCCACTACCCTTATTCTGACATCCCATAAATGGTGTTTGCCATTATATCATGATTAATTAAGTCTTTCTTGCATGCAACTGCGTGGAGTTTCGATGTGTTACGATATATATGCCAGGGCACAGAGGATGAGTAACATTATGAAAGTGGAATGTTTTTTATCAATATGGCAAAACATAGAAATAATATCCCAACCCAAACTTACAAAATTACGAGAAACGATGTTTCAGTGGTAGGTTACTCTCCAAAGCCTAAGACACGGATACAGTGACCCGGTCGTCTAATCGTGGGTTCAAGATTCGCACTGATTATGATCCTAGATCAGTCAGCATTATGTCCGTGCTCGTGGGTTTCATCATTGTTGTAAACCCTACACATTTCTCCCACAATATCCGAC